CACATCATAATTTAGGTTTACCGATTCATAAAATTCAGGGGAGTTAATTAAACTATGTACTGTGAGCAGGGGGAAAACTGCTACTGGTACTTGCGTTCCTTACCACGTTCACAGTAAAGCGAGTAAAAGCCTGGCTTACACCTATCGTTGCATTGTCTAGTGTCCCGAGCACAGCCAGTTGCGCAGTTCTCGGGGCAGGCTGCAATGACACGTTGACATACAAGAGAAATTGTTTTTTCCGAAATAAAAAAAATGTTAAATATTTTTTAAACGATTTTTTAAAAATATTTTTTTTAAATAATTAAAAAAATAATTTCGATAATAATTTTTTTTTAAACATTTTTTTAAACAACGTAGTTTTTTTTCGTAATATGTTGGTTGATATTTGCAAATGCCATTCTGCAATGTAATACAACGCTTTTTTTTTAAAAGAATTAAGTCATCAAGTAAAATTAAAATTATCTTTTTTTTTTCGTTACTTGAGTTGTAAGGTTTCAGTTAAAACGATGTATACATAATACACTCAAGGAAGAAAACGATTGCAATACCAGTACAATTTGATATAATAATGATATGTGTTTATAATTTATTCATTAAAAATACATTAATCGGATTCTTTGAGACCATTCGGTCGATGAGGCAGATTAACCAATGTTCACCTGTTTCTATAATCTCGACATATGAAGTGTGGTCAGCATAATGCCGGCGTCCCCTACTTTTCCTACCATGAGTTTGATAGCTTTGGGAGCTTTATGGACATTATACCAACACTAGTTTATTACTGAACAAGTTAAAACTGACTTTACCTTCTCAACACGTTAAAACTGACGTTACCTTTCTCAACACGTTAAAACTGACTTTATCATTCTCAACACGTTAAAACTGACCTTTCTGAACACGTTAAAACTGACCTTTCTGAACACGTTAAAACTGACTTTACCTTTCTCAACACGTTAAAACTGACTTTACCTTTCTCAACACGTTAAAACTGACTTTACCTTTCTCAACACGTTAAAACTGACTTAACCTTTCTCAACACGTTAAAACTGACTTTACCTTTCTCAACACGTTAAAACTGACTTAACCTTTCTCAACACGTTAAAATTGACTTTACCTTTCTCAACACGTTAAAACTGACTTTACCTTTCTGAACAAGTTAAAACTGACTTTATCTTTCTCAACACGTTAAAACTGACTTTACCTTTCTGAACAAGTTAAAATTGGCACTACCTTTCTGAACACGTTAAAACTGACCTTTCTGAACACGTTAAAACTGACCTTTCTGAACACGTTAAAACTGACCTCTCTTAACACGTTAAAACTGACCTCTCTTAACACGTTAAAACTGACCTTACCTGTGACCGAGACTCACCTAAGTCGCACCCGGCGCCCCACACCCCGTCCTTGCATTCTGTGCATAGGCCGTTGGTTTTATGACACGTCAGGGTACAGTTGGGTGAACAGACTAGAAGACATTTGAAAACAACACGTGAGTTAAGACAAGTGGCCAAGAAACCTGGTAGCGAAAGGTAGAACTAGAAATTACATTCTGTGACGGCCCTATGTGTATCGGATTCCGACGGGAAAAGATAATGACAAAAACAGAAGTAGAAGGGTTATAAACTAATTTAACGTTTTGAATCAGCTGGGCTGGTAAACCGGCTTCAACATTAGGCATATATGTCCGAAAAGCCGGTTTTCCGACCCGGTGATCTAGCGTCATATTCCTAGCGGCCGGTATACCGTTTAATTAAATATAATTAGCGGAAGACTGACTAAAACTGCGCATGTGTTTTAGTGCGGGATTATGATTCTAAAAATAGATTTTAGGAAAAGTGAAAGTGTTTACATTTCGTAGCAATGCCGCCGAAACAAAAAACTGAGCCACAGCCAAATGAGCCATCGACTTCAGCACATAAAGTTGGTGCAAAAGATGAAGCAAAAGACCGAAATATCAACAAAAGAAGTAGAATGACTGCATCTCAGGCAATACAACCACTTATTGATTCTGACGAAGAAGATAATATTCCTGGTCTGTATTGTGATGATAGTGACGTTGAATTTGAGACTGAAAACAGTGGCATTGAAATTGACAGTGGCAATGAAACTGTTCAAGTACGTTCTGATGCACTTGGTGCTGTAAAACTTCAGTATCCTTGGCGTGTTGATAATAATTCTTTTTCGGCTAGATTCAGCATTCAAACCAGTTGAAAATGTTGATGTAAAAAACATTCCAGACTCTATATCAGCTTACTCCAAGTTAGTTGATTTTTCGTTTTATATACATTGTTCTGTTCATACATTGTAAAACAATAAAGCATCTAAGAATCTTGCAGCATTGTTGTTTGATCATGAGCCTGGATACCAAATTTGGTTTGCTTATCTCAAACGGTTCAAAAGTTATAGACAAAGTTAGAAGCAGATAAGTGAAAATTTGGCCCTGGGAGCTCAGGAAATGGGAGAAATTAGGCCAGGGCTCAAAGGGTTTAAAAAAATAGCACTAATTGTATCTGTAGGACCACCAACGATTTATAAAAGAACATACTAATTTTTTTTTAATGAATAGTGTCACGAAATTTACCACTAATCTCTAATATCACTATGTGCTTGTTTTATTTGAAGATAACAGAAGCATATTTTTCGAAACAACATCGACATTTTAATGAAACCATGCAGTATTAATATTTATTGCAATGTATAACATCTTAACTCCAGATAATGGAAACAATTATATGCAAGCAAGATCCCACTTAGTGGATATAGAGAACTATTGTTTTTACAAAAGCAACTAAAACGAAAATAGTTAACATACTTTAAGTCTATGTGTGTCTAATGGCATAACTAGAGGGCATATTCCCTCTCGATACTGCACAAGGCGGCAGGAATGGGAGCACGCGAAGAATTGGTTTCTTATTGGAACTCGATTATACTCTCATTTAAATTTTACTTGATTCCTCGAGCTAATAGTTTATTCAAATCTTTTACTTAGTTCACAGTGTCTGTTTATTTATGGGTTTGTGGGAAGTCATATAACTCGATTTTATTATGATTATGATTATTATTATTATTATTATTATCATCATTATTATTGTTATTATTATTATTGTTATTATTATTATTATTATTACTATTATGATTATTAGTATTATTACTTTTATTATTGCGTGTATTATAATGAAATGCTGTTGTTACCTCCACTACAATTGGCTAAGTAATATCCGGGACTGCAATCGCAGTTGCCGGTCATTCGTTCACACCTATTGTCCTTCCCGATGCAATTTTTGCTACATTCTGAAATATGTAGAAACATGTGTAGAAATGGAAACACCCTTTACAAAAAAATAAGCCTTTATAGACACTGAAAATAAAACTAATTTTTTAAAAAATCTATAATAAAAAAAACGTTTAAACTATTTTTTTTTAAAAATATTACCTATAATAATAAATTTAAAGAAAAAAGAGAGTAAGAAATGTTGGTCGTTTCGTTATATATATATATATATATATATATATATATATATATATATATATATATATATATATATATATATATATATATATATATATATATACATATATATATACATATATATACATATATACATATATATACATATATACATATATATATATATATATATATATATATATATATATACATATATACATATATATATATATATATATATATATATATATATATATATATATATATATACGTGTGTGTGTATGTGTATGAGTTATCGTGCGTGTACGTGTGCATGCCCATGTGTTTCCGTATGTGTATGTATAGACTCTTCTACTAGACATAGCTCGACAGCTTAAAGCACAGATACCTTATGATAGACAGCTTAAAGAATAGATACCTCTATGACAGAAAGCGCCATACCACCCAACGTCACAATCTTGCGTGCATTTGCCGTCAACCTTATGGCATTGATTGTAGCAATTTGGATGGCACGCTGGAGTGAAGAAATACGAAACTTAGTTGTTCAATCATAAACAATTAAAATACACCAATCACCGATCAAAACACACATGCATCCCATTAAATTGAAATCATTATGCGGCACAAATCATACATATTATACCAAATACTTAATTTCATATACATTTATACTAACGAATGACAATGTATGTTTAATTTGTACTATCTTCATAAAATTAACATCATGAATCACAATCTTCACAGTACAAAAGCTATCAACATTATGTGGTCTTCACGGGAAGGAGAATGGTTTTATTTTGGTATACCAAATTATGGAAACAATGCATCTTCTTAATAAATATTCGCGTATAATCGGATTATAGAAATATAAATACTTTCTCATATACAGAGTATTGAGGAAGTATTGTAATCGGGCTTAATAATTAATAGATATTTTGACAGTTTTATCGTTATATACTTCCTTACTTTATCGTATACGGAATGTAATGCATTGTAATCGCGCAAAAACCTAAATCAAAATTTTAAAAATGTGGATGTTTTGTAACCTTCAGGAACCTGAAAAACTTTGTTTTTCATTCATGTCCTTTTGGGCGAGTGTATATAAACACGAAAACAACAATACCGTTTCAATTAGGTTGCCGAAATGGTATTTATAAGTATTTTATCAAATGTGTAGTTTTCTTTCAACTTCTAATCGTTCTGGTAACCGGAAAATATTACGTACCTTTGTGACTGACAAAACCGCACGTTTTCGAGAAATGAAAGTTTAGAATATGCTTTTGGAGAAAATGATATAAAAATCAACTTATGAATGGCTTTGGGAAACCGGCAATCAAGTGCCACACTGCCCAAAACTTGATAGAAATTTTTATTTAATAATATTGAAAAGAATCAAAAGCAATATAGCTCTAAGATTATCGTGTTCAAAAAATATAAGGATCTAGTACTCATAAAGGCGATTTCTTCCAAGAAATTTAAATGGTACTTAACATACCGTGGTGAAACCTACACATCGACGCTTAGGCGCACATATAAATAGAAAAATTACATATCTGAGGTTATTGGACAGACTGAATAATGTGTAAAACTAACTTTCTTGAGATCTAGTGATTTTTGCACGATTAAACTGCTTCCCGCATACCACGAATATGAGAAAGATGTTAACACCGTCGCCAAACAGACCTTTGCAGGGATTAAGGCGATAAAAGATCAACCCAGATATAACTTTTACTAGTTAACAACAAAAACACGTTCCAAAACATCAATTTCATTTTTCATCTTGTTAGCTTTAATCACATTTCACATGAATTTTAAACTAGAAATAACCCTCCACTTTTTTACTAAATGCTTTAAAAATTAAAAAAAAAACGTTACGACGATGAATATTAAAAAAAAACGATGCCATTTACAAACCTGTAGTACACTTGAGATCATAGAACCCATCCTTGCAGGTACCACACGCTCCGTTTCTTTTATCACATATGTTACTGTTACAATGGGGGGAGCAGTCTAACAACAATAAGTAGATACAAATTGTTAGTTAACACAACGGATTCATTTCTATAGAAATGGACAAAAGTTTAGATCTCTTGTGAAATGTTTAGTGTGGTAAGAAATCTTCCGTGGCAGGGGAGATGAGGTACGATAGTATAGAACTCTACACGTTTCGTTGGACATAGAACTCTACACTTTTCGTTGGATATAGAACTCTACACTTTTCGTTGGATATAGAACTCTACACTTTTTGTTGGACATAGAACTCTACACTTTTCGTTGGACATAGAACTCTACACTTTTCGTTGGACATAGAACTCTACACTTTTCGTTGGATATAGAACTCTACACTTTTCGTTGGACATAGAACTCTACACTTTTAGTTGGACATAGAACTTTACAGTTTTGGTTGGACATAAAACTCTACACTTTTCGTTGGACATAGAACTCTACACTTTTCGTTGGACATAGAACTCTACACTTTTCGTTGGACATAGAACTCTACACTTTTCGTTGGATATAGAACTCTACACTTTTCGTTGGACATAGAACTCTACACTTTTAGTTGGACATAGAACTTTACAGTTTTGGTTGGACATAAAACTCTACACTTTTCGTTGGACATAGAACTCTACACTTTTCGTTGGATATAGAACTCTACACTTTTCGTTGGACATAGAACTCTACACTTTTCGTTGGACATAAAACTCTACACTTTTCGTTGGACATAGAACTCTACACTTTTCGTTGGATATAGAACTCTACACTTTTCGTTGGATATAGAACTCTACACTTTTCGTTGGATATAGAACTCTACACTTTTCGTTGGACATAGAACTCTACACTTTTCGTTGGACATAAAACTCTACACTTTTCGTTGGACATAGAACTCTACACTTTTCGTTGGATATAGAACTCTACACTTTTCGTTGGATATAGAACTCTGCACTTTTCGTTGGACATAGAACTCTACACTTTTCGTTGGATATAGAACTCTACACTTTTCGTTGGACATAGAACTCTACACTTTTCGTTGGACATAAAACTCTACATTTTTAGTTGGACATAGAACTCTACACTTTTCGTTGGACATAGAACTTTACAGTTTTGGTTGGACATAAAACTCTACACTTTTCGTTAGACATAGAACTCTACACTTTTCGTTGGACATGTTATGTAGACGGTGACAAATTTAAGACAGTAGTTTTTATACAGAGGAGAATTATTAATAATTTAGCTAGAAAGAAAAAGTACCAAATTTGAAATGTATGGTCCAGGGGACAGATGAAGCAGAGTTCATCTGTTTCAGTAACTTTTTTGAAGGGATAATGTGATTAGCATTATGCCCAGCCGAGACTACGTACCTGTAGAATGCTGGACTGCTAACCCTAAACTTTCGAGTTTTACTTTGGGTTAAAGTCAGTGGAATATCCCTGACTCCACCCAGCTCTGATGGGTGGCTAAGTCACGTTAGGGAAAGTAAAGGCGGCTGGGTATTGTGCTAACCACTATATCCCTTCCTATTCCGAGGTCAAGAAACATATGAACTCTACTTCATCTGCTTAATTATACAACACTATATATTGTATTCAATATTGTTTTTTTTTACTAATAGAATAAAAATATAGAGTTGAAAGTAAATATTGAGATTGTCCGCACAAACCGAAGATGATAAAGGAAGCAAAATAAAATAGAGGCATCTCAAACGAAAACTTCAAACTAGCGCGCTTTGAAAATGTATTAGAAGGTAGCACAGGGAATTATGTTTTTTAGTGTTCGACTTGATGTTTATTTTAGGTTGACTGTTTAAAAAAAATTTAAATTGAGAATACAAGTACTAGCATAATGTGCATAATAAATAGTAAACGTAACATTTTCAATGGTCACTCAATGATCTGCCTTTTTGTAGTGTTCGATTTGATGTTTATTTTAGGTGAACTGTTTAAAGAATTTTAAATTGAGAATACAAGTACTGTCTAAAATAATGTGTATAACAAATAGTAAACGTAACATTTTCAATGGTCACTCAATGCTCTGCCTTAAACATTGAAAGTTTCACGCGGAAGAAGTCGTAGTGAGTTCCAGGGGCGTAGCGAGGGGGGGGGGGGGGGGGGGCGGGGGGTGCGGACCGCACCGGGTGACACCATTTAGGGGGGTGACACCAAGGCAAAAAATAGCAAAATATATAGAGAAAAACTCGAGGGGGGGGGGGGTGCAAATCGAAAGTTTGAGGGGGGGTGCAAATCGAAAATTTGAAAGTTTTGTCCCTGGGAAGGGTCTCTATGCCTCTGGGGGGGGTGACACCATTAAGTGCCGCACCGGGTGACACCCGACCTCGCTACGCCACTGGTGAGTTCACTCTAGAGCGATTGTTCAAAAAGTTGTTTTTTTCCACAATGCTTACAAGAATATGGAATATTTTTGTTGAAATAGTTTTGGTACCATTGCGATGTTGTTAGTGCATGACTTCTGATAACACTTTACACATGACATTACAACATATAACACTGACCATGCGAACAGTCGTTGCCATAATATTTTTCCTCGCACCTGTCACATAGACCCGTATCTTTTACACACATGTTACTTTCACAGTGAACCGGGCATACTGAAAAGGTTCAAAAATTCTTTAGATAAAATGTACCGAGGCATTTTTTTCACAGTTAGCCAGGCATACTAAAAAGGTTCAAAAAGTCTTTAGATAAAATATACCGAGGCATTTTTTTTCACAATTAGCCGGGCATACTAAAAAGGTTCAAAAAGTCTTTAGATAAAATATACCGAGGCATCTTATTTTCAAAGTTAGCCGGGCATGCTAAAAAGGTTCAAAACGTCTTTAGATAAAATGTACCGAGGCATTTTTTTCACAGTTAGCCGGGCATACTGAAAAGGTTCAAAAATTCTTTAGATAAAATGTACCGAGGCATTTTTTTCACAGTTAGCCGGGCATACTAAAAAGGTTCAAAAAGTCCTTAGACAAAATTTACCGTGGCATTTTATTTTCATTTTTATGCATATGAAATAAAATATGCACGACATTGGCAAATAACTGCACATAAAGTAACTTAGTCTGGACGGACTTTATTTTTAATCTGATATTGATTTCTGGGTATGTTGAATGGTAACATAATTTCTAGTAGAACGCTGTTCTTAATTAAGGACGTAACATATTAATCTATTCATGTTAATCTATTCATGTTAATCTATTCATGTTAATCACAAAACTTATCGAACTGACCTGATTGGCAGTCGGAGCCATGGAAACCTATCTCACACCTGTCGCACAAACCTGTGCTTTTTTTACACACCCTATTTTCACAGTTAGACGGGCATACTAGAAAAGTTGGAAAATTATCAGATTGTAAAATATATCAGGGCATCTTTTTTTTCACAGTTAGGCGGGCATACTAGAAAGGTTGGAAAATTATCATATTATAAAACTTATCAGGGCATCTTATTTTCACCGCTAACATATGTTAAACATTATTTAGACCATATAATATACAGGGGAATTTTATTTTCATTGTTATGCATATGAAATAAAATATGCATGAAATCGACAAATATATGCACATAAAGTCATTTACAGACTTTAGAATTTTAATCTGATATCGATTTAAAAGTTTGTTGAATGCTACCATACTTTCTAGTAGAACGTTTTTATGAATTGTTAACATATCAATTTATGTGAAATTACAAAACTTCTTAAACTGACCTGATTCGCATTCAGTTCCATAGTAACCTGGCTCGCAAATATCACATAGACCTGTATCTTTCTCGCATATCGTATTTTTACAGTGTCGCGGGCAGTCTTCGTAAATTAAAAGAACAAACGAAATAACTGTATTCATTACATGTACCAGGATTTTTACAAATGGATCAGCATCAAGTCTTATAGCTTGGTGAAGACCAAGTTTCAATGTGATGAAAATTACTCATTAAGCAAATGGCCACATTGTTTTCTGTTAAACTAATATATGTATGTAGTCAACACAAAAGGTAGTCTAGATATGTTTTTGTAACTCAAATTTACCCTGAAAGTTAATTAGGTGCCTAAACAATGTATAGTCATTTACTGTTGATACTGTATTCGTTGCAAAGGCAAATACAGACATGCTACAGTGGTTCTAAACAGATATTTACGACAGACCCTCAAAATAAGATGGCCAGACAAAATATCAAATAAAGACCTGTGGCAAAACAAACAAACAACAGTTAATAGATAGGACATCAAAGCCCGTAAATTTGGATGGATTGGACTTACCCTGAGAAAGGGAGAAGGAAATATAATAAAGAAAGCCCTTTGCTCCCCAGGAGAGGTGTGATTGTAGCCCTTTGCTCCCCAGGAGAGGTGTGATTGTAGCCCTTTGCTCCCCAGGAGAGGTGTGATTGTAGCCCTTTGCTCCCCAGGAGAGGTGTGATTGTAGCCCTTTGCTCCCCAGGAGAGGTGTGATTGTAGCCCTTTGCTCCCCAGGAGAGGTGTGATTGTAGCCCTTTGCTCCCCAGGAGAGGTGTGATTGTAGCCCATTGCTCCCCAGGAGAGGTGTGATTGTAGCCCTTTGCTCCCCAGGAGAGGTGTGATTGTAGCCCTTTGCTCCCAAGGAGAGGTGTGATTGTAGCCCTTTGCTCCACATTAGCCACACAGGATTAAGTCACTGTTCGTGCTTTTGATGCGGTTATTAATTAATGCCAGGGAATATCACACATCACAGCACATTCGGAACTTACTTGATTCGCACCGTGCACCATAGTAACTTGCTTCACACTTGGCGCATAGACCCGTCGAGCGAATGCATGTCTGACCTTCGCAATGAGCCGGGCATACTAGATAAATTCATTTTTTTTTAAATTAATAAATGCAATTTCAAACTAAAACATATATGGACATACAGAAAAGTTTCCAAAAAACGCCTTTCAGGTTAGATGTAGAATAACTGTGAATCCGATGTACAATTCTAGCTAGGGTAAACTGTAACATAGTTTCCAATTAAACTAAAAGAAGTTTGCTTTAAAAAAGCATAAGAGTCTACAAAAGCTCTTCGTACGCTAGCCAAAAAAAAAAAATAAATAAAACCAAGCGTATCATTCTCACAATAATCTCAAACCTTTTCTAACGGCACAAGTATTGTTCTTTATCGTGTATTTATTAATTTATGTTGTATATTATATTACACAAACTAAACAACACATATAGAACTAACCATGTTGGCATTCGTTTCCATAGTAACCTTTTTCACAAGTATCACAATAACCCGTTTGTCTGTTGCAACGCTTTCCTAAACAGTGCTCCGCGCATGCTGAATACAGTTTTTAAAGGAAGTCTCAAAGACAAAAGTATGGAGGAATGTCAAATTAATAGAACGCTAAAGTTTTCAAATGTCATTGTAATTAATGAATACTTTGGTGGTCACGGAGGTTGATATCTATACGGGTTCTGAGCATATATATATATATATATATATATATATATATATATATATATATATATCTACATACATATATATATATATATATATATACATATATATATATACGGGAACAGGGCATTTCCCCCCTGTCAATTACCCCCCGGATATTTCCCCCCCCCCGACATTACCCCCCAGAGTAATTACCCCCCCTGTCAATTACCCCCCTGTCAATTACCCCCCGCCCAGTAGGACATTACCCCCCCCCCGGACAGGGTTAGAGTTAGGGTTAGGGCTGGGTTTAGGGTTAGGTTTATGGCTAGGGCTAGGGTTAGGGTTAGGGCTAGGGCTAGGTTTAGGGTTAGGGTTAGGGTTAGGGTTAGGGTTAGGGTTAGGGCTAGGGTTAGGGTTAGGGTTAGAGCTAGTGTTAGGGTTACGGTTGTGTCTAGATTTGATTTTGGTTTTGTGTGAAGTTTTAGGCTAAGGTGGATGCTTATGTTTTGGTCTTGTTCTTAAGGTTTGGATTAAAGTAGTATATAGGTATAAAATTCTTGTTAGAGTTAGGATTTTAAATTGAGAGGGGGGGGGGGGGTAATTCCCCGGGGGGTAATTGACAGGAGGGTAATTGACAGCGGGGTAATTGCTCCGGGGGGTAAATACGGGGGGGAAATGTCCGGGGGGGAAATATCCAGGGGGGTAATGTCCTGTAGCCATATATACATACATATATATATATATATATATATATATATATATATATATATATATATATATATATATATATAATATAATATATATATATATAATATATATATATATATATATATGTATATGTATATATATATATATAATATATAATATATATATAATATATATATAATATATATATATACATATACATATATATATACATAAATATATACATAAATATATACATAAATATATACATATACATATACATATATATATATATATATATATATATATATATATATATATATATATATATATATATATATATACCATGAATTAAAATTAAAATCAACACATGATGGAATTTAAACATCTTTACTTAAGAAATAATTATATTGAAATGGAATGAATCGGTTGTTGCTGACAATTATTTTGAAATTGTTATAACAAAAACAGCATTTTAAAATTTTTAATCTTTTTATAAGTTACTGACGTATTAAGCCTATATTAGTAGTTACAAATTAGCATATTACACAACACATAAGCTGACCTGAGTTACAGAAAGCGCCATAGTAGCCGTTTTCACAATTCGGACATTGACCGGTCTGAACGTCGCACGTTTTATTGGCGCAGTTGGACGAGCATTCTAATTCAAGTAGAATTCACAGCATTAGATTTACACAGTTATGGGGACATTCTACTTCAAGTACAATTTACATCATTAGATTTACACAGTTATGTGGACATTCAAATTCAAGTAGAATTTACATCATTAGATTTACACAGTTATTTGGGCATTTTAATTGAAGTAGAATTTACATCATTAGATTTACACAGTTATGGGGGCATTCTACTTCAAGTAGAACTTACATCATTAGATTTACACAGTTATTTATGGGGGCATTCTACTTCAAGTAGAATTTACATCATTAGATTTACACAGTTATGGGGGCATTCTAAATCAAGTAGAAATTACATCATTAGATTCACACAATTAAAAAAAAAAAGTTGATTGACGTCATTAAATTTACACAATTATAGGAGCATTCTAATTGAAGTAAAATTTAATTTATATCATTATTTTTACACATTTATGGGGATATTCTCACTCAAGTAAAAGCTAATTTACGTCATTAAATGTACGACGTATTTCTATGGGATATTGTATGGGGGGGGGGGGGAACTTAGGTGTGGGAAAATGTGTGGGGGCTAACGTATGTGTGGTAAAGGTGTAGGGGTGACTACAGGTGTGGAAAATACGTGTGACTCAAGAGGGGGGGGAGAGGCACGCTTTTGTTGTAGTCCCGCTAACAAAGATGATTTACTGGTTACGTTAATTACTGGTTTTCACAATGAGAATAAACTATTTACAGCGAATGTAAATAAATCTTTATACGATAACATACACGGAACGTCGGCGAATGTTTTCTGAGCCACATGTTTATTTTAAACTGAAGTAGAATAGGGTAAATTGAAGTATGATTTCTAAAGGAATCAACAAACTCCTGTCCTAAAGTGCATACACTAGTCCAACACTGTTCTCCTATAATAGACGGCCGTAGAATTCGAATTACTAATGCAATGCTCAAAATAGTTTAAAATACTTGTCGTTTACAAGAACATTAGTTTGTAATTTATGAATAAATTTTTTACTTAGTACTAATTTAATTGAGACACGAATAAAACGAACCTAATCGGCATTCGTCACCATAGTAGCCAGACTGACATCCGTTGCATCTCCCCAGGTCTTTGGAACAAGTGTTATACCTACAGTGCTCCGGGCAGGCTAAATCAAGTTTTAAATTGTTTTAATGTATGTATAAAACAAACTATACAAGGAAATCGTCAATTACCTAATTGGGGGCTAATTACAGTGGGCCGAGCATGCTAAAAATGATTATTTAATTGTTTTAAAATATGTATAAAACGGATGATAAAAGGGCATTCTCAATTGCCTTCAGTGGTGATGGGGGCTAATTAAATCAGTGGGACGGAGTGGTTGATTAGTAGAGCGCTTGGCTGCTACCCCGAAGGTCTCGAGTTCGGACTCTTGACTGTACGACGTCCCTGAGTCCACCCAGCTCTAATGGGTACGGGAATTACGCTAAGGAGAGTAAAATCGGCTGGGTGTATTTTATATGCCGGGGCTAAGAAACTTGAAGTCTACTTCAACTGCCAAATGGATCGCTAGTTTTAAAGAGGATTCGTGACTTGTCTTGAATCTAGTGTGGACTTCTAATGAGCGGCGTGGTTCTACTCGAACAAGCAAACTTTAATTTAAACCAGTAAATTAAACAATGGAGTTGCTAGTGGACGGAAAGGGGGAGGAAGCGAGCTAAACGGCGAGGAAAAGAAAACAGAAAGTTCATTTTGAGTTGCATTATTGAATCATACACCAAAAGACGCTTAAGAAAAACGACTGCTATTTGGCTTTACTACGAAACAATTTAAACTTTTTCTACCTAAATTGATGGCGTGACACCAAATGATCAAGAGTCACCGGAAAGTAATAAAAAAAAGCTTCCGCGCCTTTCCAAAGTTCGGAACACGAAAAACTATAGATATAGAAAGGGGAGGAGTAGCTTGATAATTCGCCCGAGCGCCGGTGTTAATTTCCAGGATTTGCCGCCCAATAATTTAAAATACTTTACAAAAATTGAAACATTATTGGAGCTTTAATGTTTACATGTGATGTGCAATATCACAAAATACTTTACAAAAATTGATACGTTATTGGAGCTTAATGTTTACCTTTCATGTGCAATATCACATATTTAACTGACCTAATCCACAGTCAACGCCATAGTAACCTATCTCACACACTGCACATAGACCTGTATCTTTTATGCACGTCTGATTTTTACAGTGAGCCGGGCATGCTAATTAAATAAATAAACGAAATAATTAGTAAATACCTCTAGAACTAAAACATATACAAGCACACTAAATCTGGTATACTAGGTAGAATGGTTGCAATGTTATTCAAGGCTAGTAAGTCTGATTTTAACCGCATTAAGAGTTAAAAGATGTTGCAGGTAATTGCGATAATTATAATTTGATTTCTCAATTATCTACTTTATCTGTGTGTTTTTTATCGTATGACCAACTGGATTCTACTTTGAGTATTTTTGATCTTTTGATTATGTAGATTCTACTTTGTCTGGGTGTTGTTTATCTTTTAAACGAGTAGATTCTCCTTGAGTATCTTTGATATTATTATAATGTCTGAGTGTCTTTGATCTTTTAACCAAGTTGATTCTACTTTGTATGAGTGTCTTTGATCTTTTAACCAAGTTGATTCTACTTTGTATGAGTGTCTTTGATCTTTTAACCAAGTTGATTCTACTTTGTATGAGTGTCTTTGATCTTTTAACCAAGTTGATTCTACTTTGTATGAGTGTCTTTGATCTTTTAACCAAGTTGATTCTACTTTGTATGAGTGTCTTTGATCTTTTGACCAGGTAGATTCTACTTTTGAATGTCTTTGATTTTTTGACCAGGAAGATTCTACTTTGTCTGTGTGTCTTTGATCTTTTAACTAGGTAGATTCTACTGTGTATGAGTGTCTTTGATCTTTTGACCAGAGCTGATGAGGGTAGAACAATCCGTCTTGATCAGTGACTTGCTAGGGGTCTTGCGTTTAAAACAAAAACAATTAAAGGAATCAACAGAGGAGTAAGTCAAAGTGCTTATCAAGCGGTCATTAGCTGGACATGTGCAATATATATATATATATATATATATATATATATATATATATATATATATAATTCTCTTCTTGGAGACGCTAGAAAATAAGCTGTAAGCGCGCTCCCTACCACCCCAAACCTACATGGTCTGGTGAGCTTTGGTTCACGCTAAATGTTTACAACCGTAGAGCCGGGTTTAGTGACGGCTACTAGGGGCAGATAATTTAGCTTGATACGATTTTAAACTTAGGGAAGGTAACTAAGAGGAGGCTGCTTTCACGGGGGGGGGGGGGTGTAGGGTAGGGGTTGGGGGAAAGGAGGGTGGGGGTAGTATCGTCCTTAACGACCTACTGATAGTGTTTTAAAGCAAATATTTTCAGTAGCAGCATTGGTACTGCCGAATTCACAAACTATGAATTACTGAAACGTAGATAATAAAACAACTAAATAGCGGCGTATGATAAGCCGCGGGTCGGCTCGTAATACATATAACAATAGTGGTCCGTCTTGGTTTATACAAGTGGGTGTACCGTGGACTAACTCACTATGGACTCACAGTTGCTCTTGTGTGTTCTTCTTTTTAAGGACAGACGATAAACTGCTGTATAATACTAATATTAGATACATTTCAAGTTCTAACAGTCAAAGCACAGCTTCCACTTGTGTTCATCTAGGTGGACTCCCTAGCATCTCATTCAGTCAGGTTATATAAACTCTCATGCCTGCACTCCATTCTGTGAGCGCAGTGGCGTAGGCAGGGGGGGGGGGGGGGTAAGGGGGGGGTCATAACCCCCCCCCCCCCCATAGACCCCTCGGTATATATAAAAAGTATGGGGGGTGTGCTAATCGAAAGTTTGAGGGGGGGGGGGGGGGGCAAATCGAAAGTTTGTCCCCGGGTAAAAATTGGAACCCCCCTCCTTGAGACGATCCTGGCTACGCCACTGTGTGAGCGATACCCACAAAGCATGAAAATACGCGGATTTATTGCTTAATCATTTAACTTCCGATGGTAAGGTATTTAACAATCAAACACGATTCACTCCAAGCACAATAATAAAGTCTGTTACGTTACAACTGCCACTGCAACACACATATAACTCACCCGTTTCGCACTCTTGGCCGAAGTAACCTTTCTCGCAAGTAGAACATAGACCCGAATCTCTATTGCACAATTTACCTAGACAGTGTTGCGGGCAAGCTAGGTAAAATAATTTTTTAAAATTAGTAAACGTCTCTAGAGACTATACAAGGATATTTGATATTCAAATGTATCTTAATAAAGCAATTTAGCGTGGACGTTGTCTAAATTTTAATCTGATGTAAACATCAAACTTGGGTAAATGATACCATGGTTTTATATTGAAACAATTGTCTTTTACTTTAAATGGGTTTTAAAATGTTTAGCAGTGTATTTTTACGTTTAACTAAACTTGTGGTTTAATTAGGCTGATAATTCTTACAATAATATTGAATTCTTGATTGGCTTATTTACAATATTTGTCCTTAGGACGAATGTATAATCTATGATAATAATATCGGATACATTATTTGACAGTAGATAGATAATTGCATTGCATTATGCAAAGGATGGCAGCTTATGTTGGTAACGATCGGTAAAATAATAGAAATTTAAACTATAGAAGGATCAGAGTTACTTTTTTACAGGATTATAGTGAAGTGAAATGTGATCAACTACTGTCACGTTGCCTAGGTAACCGTAGGGATAGGTTTTATAATTGTAGTAAAATAATATCTTTAAAAAATGCATACTCAGTATTTAACTTATTTTTATGCGCCATTGAAGTCATTGACTTCGATTTCAGCCTGCTTTTCTTTTTTAATCTGCTTCCATAACTTTTGCCCAACCAAGAACAAATTACAAGGCGGCATTGGTTTGATTTTGGAGGTGTCTTTCCTAGAGGAGTGGCTGTCCGCAGCTAACGAGGGTTCGAACTCGAGACTTTTCGGTTTAGCAACCGTGAGCTTTACCGACCGAGCCAACCTCTAACTCCTTTTAGTGGAAATAATTTCAAGTACATAACACTAATGAAGTTTTCTACTTATATTCCTACATCAAAGATTAGCATACAATTACTTATTTTGATTCGTTGCAAACAATGCTAAACGTGATACAATTTACCTTGCAAATATTTAAAATGTTAACAAACCTGCACTACAGTTTTTGTTAAAGAAACCAACCAAGCACGCAAAACATTTCCCCGTATCTCTTTCACAATTGTTGTTTACGCAGTTTGCACTGCAAGCTGAAAATTGGAGCAGATTGGGGGGGGGGGGGGGGAGGGAAGAAAAAAAACAAAATTGCATGAAAAACGTTTTAAGAACAAGATTTTATGTAATAATGCACCAAAAACTAAAAAAAAATCATTTTCTTTAAATATATAACAATACCCTTCAATTTGAATTACTATAAAGAAAGGCGTGGGGCACCGTATTATCTATTGGATGTTTTTTACTAACATTTAGGAAGAAACCCACGCAGTTTTGGTAATTTAAATTAGTAGCGTATTATTAAATATTTTAAACAAAAAACATTTAATTTCTCCATTTTAGTGCATTTATAAAAAAAAAAGCTTGTTTGAAACGTTTTTATGCAATTAATTTTTCAGTACTTTAATTTTTTTTTATTTACCATAGAGTTGCATAATTAAAAACTATTGCGCAACAAGTGAACATGATAAAGCACGTATAATAATGCGAAAAGAGTAATACAAGCCTGCCTACTAATTTCAGAAAATTTTAATCTTCATAAAAAATTAACACAATGAGAATTTTTAGCAAAAATGCTACGAATATGATTTTTTTTTAAAAACGAAGAAAAGCCTTGCACTGTGTTAAAATATACTTTTTAAAAAGTTGCTATTAATAAATTATGACACAATGTTTTGTTTTTTAGCGAAAAAAAGCCACAAATATGATAAAATACCGAAAAAAAGCAACTGATATAAAAAAAAATTACCTGAATCGCAATCATCGCCGTAGAACCCACTCGCACACTCCGCACATCCGCTTAGTTTGAAGCACTTGGCGAGAGCACAGTTCACTGGGCATTCTAATGTATCAATTCAATAGAATGTTGATTTTATGACTAGATAATTGACCGGCCGAGGGCGCTAGGTTGATTGTACTGGGTTTTTTTTCTCTAAACCGAAACCAAAATCAAAATTCCCCCCCCCCCCCTTTAACCTCAGAAACGGTAATTCAAACGTAAACTAACTTTTAACGGAAAACGGAAATATAAAAGGAACCGGTAATTTAACAGGAATCAAAAGCTGGAAATGTAACCGATAGCGGAAGACTACGGAACCTCAAATTTTTCATAAACGTAGTTTTTTTTTTTTTTTTTTTTTTTTTTTGGAATTGCAACTTTGTTATAAGCAAGATTTTTTTTTTAAAACCACAACCGGTTGCTTTCCGGAAATACAATTTTAGCCGTACCCGGAACTTGAATCTAAACGGAAATATTTATAGAATTCGGAACATAGGTAAAAATTCATTATAAACCGAAAACTTTACCTGAAGCCGAAAATTTTTCCAGGACCGAAAATTCTTCGGAACCGTAACTTCGATCGAAAAAGGGAAATAAATTCACAAACACATATTTAATTGGCACCGGAAATTTAACAGAAAACGAAATTTCATTGAAAAAGGATTTTTATCAGAATCGGCATTTTAACCCAATCCATAAATTTAACTGGACCCAGAAATTTAGGCAGTGACGGCAAATAAATCATAAACGTAATTTAACCAGAAACATACATTTATTCGAAGTAAAAGATTTGACTGTAAATGAAAATTTAAGCAAAAAAACAAACCAAAAACGGAACCTTAACTGGTATGACATTTATCACGAAACGGAACTTCATTCGGAACCGGTGATTCAACTTTTAAAACATTAAAACAGAGTTCAAAAAAAATTCTCAAATGATCATACTACGTTAACAGTTAAAAGTAATTGTAACATCATCCTATGTCAGAAATTAAGAATTAACTAAAAAACTTGCCTTCATTGCATCCACCTCCAAAGTAACCCGTCTTGCACGTACATTCTCCATTTACATTGCATTCTCCATTAATGCACCCGTTCGAACAAACTAAAAATTTAAAAAAAATTGTTTTTTTTTTTAGCAATATTCTTCTGCAAGTAAATTCTTTAAATAAAAGAAATACTTTTTTAAAATTATAATAAAAATACTGAAATGAATTAAGAAAAATAAAATAAAACCGACTTGCTTTTTTTATTTTTTCATATACAGAGTATAGAGGAAGTATTGTTATCGTGCACAAAAATTGCGTTAAATTTTGACAGCTTTATCCGTTTTACAACGCAGTACTTCATGAAATAAGGCGTATAGGGGAGTAATATTAATCGGGCAAAAATTATAAATCCAGATTTATCAAAGTTTTGGCGTTTTACGCGTAATCGAGTCGGAAAAACTAGGTTTTGCAATTCTGTCATTAGACGTTTGGCTAGCCATAAAAAAAAGTAATTTAAAGACTACAATATTCGAATATAAAAGAGAAGACTACAAGATATAATACTAGCAATCGCGTTATCAGAGTGCCATTTAGGGTAAACGTTTTAATAAGTTGGTTGGATTCTCGCATGATCTTCGATCACAAACTGCGTAGGGGTCATCCATAAATGACGTCACACTTTTTTTGACGATTTTTACCTCCCCCTCTCCCCTCCGTCACACGTCGTCACAAAAAGCCAGACCCCCAAAATCTTGTCTAAACTATTACAATTTATTAAAACAGTTATCTAAACCGCGAAATAACGTCTAAAATTCGTTTTCTAACATTGCTTTTTTATAGTGCAAAAATGTGACGTCGCAACATCTGATCCCCCCCCCTCCCCCTCATCACACATCGTCTCACAAAATTATGGACCCCCCCCTTCCCCTACGAGTGTGACGTCATTTATGGATGACCCCGTAGGGGAGATAACCGTTTTATAGAGATCACAAGCTACGGGTTTGGTCTTAACTCAAATAATTTAGTTGAGTTTTTTTCGTCGTGTCAACTTCATTTTTGACAAAAGACTAAACGGTGAAAAATAAAACAGATATAAAAACCTTAATAATAACTAGCACTGAAAATAACAAAATAAAACTAATTTTCTTTCACAGATAAAAGCTATGGTCGCTAAAATATTATGCAATAGATCTCATGAGCGACCATAGCTATTGGAGGCCAATGAGTTGACGAGATTCCTTCCATCATAATGTTGACATGGATAAAATTCTTTTTTTTTTAGTATAATAATTAAAAATAAAAACTTAAGTTAAGCCTAAAAATAATTTAGAAATTTAATATTTTAGAATCAATGTTATATAATGTGCAAATCCAGAGAGCTTCAAAATATTTTTTTCTTTAGTTTAATGCTGCATTTCTATTTGTTTTCATCAAGACTAAGTTAAAAACCGATTTATCACTTTCGTAAGACAAGCATTGATTGGCTGTGGGAATTCCGTGATCGATAGCTGTTTGTTTACAAAAAAATAAAAAAATTGCAGATAAAGTTTTTAAATAACATAATGCTATTTTAAACCACATGACCTAGTTCTGCCATTTTTGTTTACATTTTGTATGTTAAACTTTGTTCTAGCCAATCAAACGGTAGGGTGTTATCGCTTATGTCTCAAATTACCAAATGTAAACAAAATGGCCCTCGCCTTTTTTAACAATTGTGTTTAATTACCGAAAATACTAAAACGTCAGATAAATCGACTTTTTTTTTTTAAATCCGGAAAAAAACCAAACAGTCAGAGTTACATAACCATGTTATTATTAATTACACCGTGCATGATTTCAAAATCTTTTTTATTTTTTTTAATAAAAAAAGCTTGTTATTATAAACGATTTTCAATTAGGTTAACTATACTTTCACTTAATTAAGCCTGCAATCATATTACGAACCATCCTGGCATGTAGCACCGTAGAATCCCTTATTACATGCCAAGCATCCATTGTCTTTGTCACACCTGTCTGGCCTACAATTCGTTGGGCAAACTATGAAAGACAAAAATATTTAACTTCCCTTTATTTATCGATTAATATTCGAGGAAAAAAAACATTTTTAAAAAGCAACATGGACGAGCCGAATAAAAAAAAAACAAGACATAAAATTAAAACGAAAGAAATAGGCAGATATTATAAACGTTTTTCAATTAGGTTACTTGAACTATCATTTTAGCGTGCAATCATAATGGATATTTTACGAACCATCCTCGCAGTTGTCACCGTAGAATCCAGAGATACATTCCTGGCACCCATCGTCTTTGTCACACTGGCCAGGCTTACAATTCGGCGGGCAAACTATGTACGACCAAAATATTTAACATATTTTAATTTATCGGTTAATAATTACGAAAACAAGTTAATTAAAAAGTCTAGTGACAATTTTAGCGCAATTTCCTTATGTTATCTAAAAATAGCTCTGTCGTAGCGTAAATCAAGAGCAGGGTTAGTAAAACCATTGGTTAGTTATTAAAACGTTTTTTATTAAAAAAAAAATTCAGTATTTTATACGTTTTATTTACAATAGAGTTACATGACTAAAAACCATTGCGCGCCTAGCTACTGAACGTGATGACGAAGCCATAGAACGTGATGGTGCAGCTATTGAACGTGAAGACGCGTGTGGTGTGGTTGGAAAAAATGCCTACTAATTCGGTCCAAATTTTAATTAATTAAAAAAAAAATTTTGTGACCGAACGAAAGGATATTTTTGAAAACTTTCTTCGGCAATATTGTTCTAAATTATGGCAGGAATCGATTGGTACATGTTTCAAGTCGCTAAGTGGTCTGGTTGCCGAGATATGGGCCAAAAACTGCTTTTTTTCGAGGTTTTTTGGCTTTTCCGGGAAATCCATGAAAGAAACCCGGAATTTTTATAGCCTATGTTCATCCTCGTAACTTGCTTAACATAATTGCTTTTGGAACTAGTCATCGATATTGCTTCGTTGAGGAGGAGATACGACTTAAAGCTGCGGACACACATCCATCCATTCATTCATTCATACATTCATACATCCAGAAATGACGGGTTAATAAACGCAATTCTCCAGAATGGAAATTGCGCTAAAAAAAGATAACAAAAAAGCAAAACGAATCGAATAAAAGTAAAATAAAACGAAATGAAATGAAAATAAACGAATTGAAACCAAGTAAAATAACAATGAATAACAGATTAGCAAGGCAAAGCGAAACAATATTAACACAACCAAAATACAGCACAATTAAACGATGTCAAGGAACATTTTTGAAACATTTGAATAATAAAATGAGAAATTACTTTTTCTAAAAAATGCGATACACAATAATCGAACCTAGCTCGCATGAATCTCCATGGTGACCAGGCAAACAATCCACACAGCCATTCCTCTTGTCGCACGTGTCACAGTGTTGTGGGCATTCTAAATAATAAGTAAAATTTAACGATTGAATTTTGATATTAATTTAAATATATAGCCAACGTATTTTTTTATACTTGCAATAAAATAAACATGGAACGATGTCCTATCGCATTCTGAGCCCTTGTATACTCTCGTACATTTCGTACACAATAACAGAGTAAAATACCGCTTCCGATGATAGGAAATCGCACTTTCCAGCTACACATTCTATTATCAATAGTTGTGATCATCTTTGCTTTGAGAAGAAAAGGACAGCTACGAGGTGTGAAGATCTCAAACAGCATTTCAGTCTTTAGCAGGCGGTGTTTGTGGTCATGATCAAGAAATGATCTTATTTAAGACATTGATAACGTTTATGTTCGCCGAAAAAAAAAATCGTGCCACATAAGTATCACAAAAGTTAAATACTTGTTGGCAAAGACTGGTCAACACTTTCAGTTTTATTAAATGCAAAAGACATAAAGTATTACCATTGGTACAGCTTCGCAAGCTAAACCAGAATTTTATCGTCGTTTTATATATATATATAAGCTAGCTATGCCATGTCTTTTACGTCTATATACCGGAAATGGTCTTTAGATATGTAAATCAACATTTGAGTGAGAGGAAGTCCTGATTAACTCGATTCACGTCTGCAGAACTAAACATTTTGAGACGCCCAATTTTACGCATGAACCAATTGCAGGTATAAAAATTAACACAGCATTAACATATCGCTATTTAAAACCCTTTTGCAATGTGCTGTTAATTAGTACCTTTTTACAAGCTTTTATTTAACTCACTTCCCCTGTCTGTCGTCAGTCTAGATCGAAACGCCGGAGCGAAATTGCAGGCATTTCTACTTGACAGATACGGTTCGTAATTGGTACGTGATCAAGACATAAAGACAATGCATCGTGCCATTAAATTGGACTTAATTGGATGCCTAATTATTTTTTTATGAATTAATTAAAATTTTGACCAAATTAGTAGGCATTTCTATCCAACCACACCACACGCGTCATCACCTTCAATAGGCGCGCAATGTTTTTTAGTCATGAAACTATTGTAAATAAAAACATGTAAAGTATTAATTTTTGTTTTCATAAAAAACGTTGTAATAACAAGCTTTTATGTACTAATGCACTAAAAAAGTAAAAAATAAATTATAAACTACCATTTAAATAACTATAAAGAAAAGCGTGGGTCTCCTCCTAAGCATTAGTAAAGGTATCCAATATATACTAAAGTGGCCCACGCTTTTCTTTATAGTTATTTAAATGGTAGTCAATACTTTATTTTTTACTTTTTAGCTCATTAGTACATAAAAGCTTTTTATTAAAACGTTTTTTATGAAATTATTTTTTAAAAATATGTCGCCTTAATTCCTGTGCTTCTTTATTTAATAATTACATTTTAAGATCAAGATTTCTTTATAAAAAAGATATTTTTGACTGGAAGTTTTTTTGAAGCGGTAGGAATTACCCATGGTTCCCCAATATATATATATATATATATATATATATATATATATATATATATATATATATATATATATATATATATATATATATATATATATATATATATATATATATATATATATATATATATATATATATATGCATATGTGTACGAGTATATATATATATATATATATATATATATATATATATATATATATATATATATATATATATATATATATATATATATATATGCATATGTGTACGAGTGTATAAGATAAAAGACATAACGATATTAAGATTCCATATTTCATACAGTAGTTAGTTAAACTCAATCTAATGGTCCGACTAGGGGTGTCCAGTATTGTCAGGTTTATTTCAGATTTCCTAAACAGAACGTAGTTGAAATGCCCTTCTATACAAATACAAAAAAATAAGCTTTTCTTTGGGGCAAAGGGAAGTACACGTGACATGAGCTAGGGTAAGGATTCTTGTTGTGATACAAGTAAACATTAGGATACAAATTTCAAAGGCCAGGGCTATGGTTATTTTTGTGATACTAGTGCACATTACCGAGCTACAAATGACGAAGGCCCGCTGATTGACGAATGGGTACACACTATATCGGGATTTTTTTCTTAACACATGTAACGATATAGGAAACTGCAACATTCAACATTACACATGTAACAAAAAGAGGAAACTGCAACATTCAACATTACACATGTAACAAAAAGAGGAAACTGCAACATTCAACATTACACATGTAACGAAAGAGGAAGCTGCAACATTACATTGATCATTTACAACACAAAAGAGAAAACGATTGCCAACCTACCACTTTCGCAGTAAGTTCCATAGTATCCAGCTAAGCATGTTCGGCAATGGTTCCTGGAATTTTGAGTTTGACATCTTGTAACTTTTTGGGTAGTAACTTTTTGGGTAGTAACTTGTTGGGTAGCGCACGCTGTTCGGTAGACATACAGAAAATACTGAGACTGTCTTTTAAATTGTGCATGCTGTTCGTTAGATGTACAGAAAAAACAGAAACTGTCTTTTAAATTATTAAAATAATTATTTATCATTTCCCATTGGTGCCCAAGACACTCGGGTCATATGACTTACAGTTAATGCTTACAGTTTAATGCTCTCAATGTGGGAAGGGATAGTATGGTAGAGACGCCTTGGTTTCCCTAATTTAGGTCAGGTACCCATCACAGCTGGGTGGACTCGGGGATATGCACATGTTTAACACTGTGATTCGAACTCGAGACTCACTGGTAAGCAGTCGTAAGTTCTATCATCCGGCCATGTCTTCCCCATAATTAATAATATTAAATAAAACAATCTACAGCGTTTATTATACACAAAGTATAATGGAGTCTAGTATCTGTTTATTCGAGAAGTTTCTAACTGTCGTAACCCTCGATCTGGCTACCTACGCTTCAATATGGCATTTTTTTAATTGGAGAGGTCTTGTAAAAAAAAAAAACTTTGTCATGAGAATTATCTAATTTAGAGTAATAAAAGAATTGATTTTATAAGTAAACAAGAGCTAGAAAGCGGTGTTGGACAAAGCTAAATGTGATGATATAGTTAGAACAAAATTTTAAACGAATAGTAAGACCGAAACATGAATGCCTTCGTGTTTTTGTTTAATTGGCTTACCTGTAAAAAGGACCAAACAAACAAACAATATCCCTTTGTAAATCATTGGTTTGATATCTGCTAGAACATTGCAAAGGTTGAGGTATAGACACAGTGTTTAGTCTCGGTTGAATTGAGTTGAACCGCTAGAGGTGTTTCGCCCTTTTGCAAAAAATACAACATCATGTTTATCCTACCTATGTAATATTAAGCAGTAGAGGCGTAGCGAGGAGGGGGGGGGGTGCGAGCCGCACCGGGTGACACTATTTAAAGGGTGACACCAAGGTTAAAAATTGCAAAATGTACAGAAGAAAAATACATTTTTGCCAGTTAAATAAATAATTAGGCAAAGTTAAATAGTCTTTTTTAGGTACAGAGTGGTCTAGCGGTAGAGAGCTCGACTGCTAACCTGAAAGTCTCGAGTTCGAATCCGGGTTCATGTCCGTAGACCGTCCCTTAGTCCATCCAACTTTCACGTTAGGGAAAGTAAAGGCGGCTGGGCATAGTGCTGACCACACTATTTCTTCATATGCCGAGGTCACAGAAACTTGCCCTATAGACCGTCAGGTTTGAAAAGGGAACTACCTTTTTTAAAATAGTCTTTTAACTACAAATCGACAATTATAACATGAAAATGGGGGTGGCACCATGACGTCAACGTACTAACTATAGAGAAAACAATGCTACGTTTTACTATATTATTAAAATAATATACATAATACATAAAATACATAAACATCGTTACTATTAAGTGTGCAGTGATTAAAGC